AGATATTGAAAATGATGGAGACATCCATTCATGAAAGGATATACAGCACATTGCCTTCCGTGGTTACAAACTGTTTCTGTGGCTGTTACTCTTTTCTTTTGAAATAGTATTAGACCAGCTGATTAAAGTTCTACTGCAATTGTGTCTTCATATAGACAATTCTGTTTATTATTACCCTGTTTCATGATAAACATGTATAACTACTTTTATGTGTTTCACCTCAAACCCTCTCAAGCAGTTAATCATAGAATCCACTCGGTTGGAAAAGACCGTCAGATTATCAAGTCCAGCAATTACTTATACAAGGTATCTGTGTCCTTCTACTTCTTTGTTATTCTCTCTCACTCTTCCCTTCTCTGCCCTGTTTCCCATACTGACCAGTTTTTCCTTCTTCTTCCTCCAGAACCGCTGCATTCCTGTGCCCGTGACAGGCAGCATGCTGAATGGCAGATGTGCACAGCAGCCAACTGCTCTGTCAGGAATGGCCCACACAAACTGACACTGCAAAATGTCAGTTTCCTTTGTGCCTCATAACAAGAGAAGAGATGAGAAAATCTTAGCTGAACCCTCTGGACAGGAGGACTGATTGCTTTCTCTACTTTTGGTCATTAAACTGCCTTTTCCCACCACTTTTCCTCTTGCAAATCCTAGGACAGCAGATTTGTAAATTCAATCAGTTTTTAATGCCTAACCATTAAATTGCTTCGGGGTCTCACTTTCTGGGATGGAAGAGCCCTTCCCTGGAGGGAAGATCACACTCACAGAAATCATTTCATTAAGTTGTAAAGATTAGAAACATGCCCCTAGTCTATTTGGTATAGAGTTGAAGAAAGGGTCTCATAACTGCTGTCTCAGGACCAGCAAGTTAAATTTGCATTGCACGTGGTGTTGACAGGATTGCCCCCTGGTGTGGCTCTGCTCTGTGTTATGTGCTGTGCCCACTGACTTTGAGAGCCTCTTAAAGAGCAAAATAGTACTAAAGACAACTTTTGTAATGAAAACTATTGTAATGAGCAAAAAATCTAGCACTATTATTTGTAGTATTTTCATTTAAAATACAACTGCTCTTTTCTGTGTAAACCCTGTAAACAGGCATGATTTTAGATAATGTTTGTCTTAGACGGGCAGTCAGAATATTAGTCTCCTGCAGAGGGTTAGTCCTCTTAGGAAGAAAGTCTGATAACTTTTCACATCAGAAAACAAAACAAAACAAAACAAAACATAAAATAACTCTCATGATTCTTGTTTAGGACTGGGATGCATCTTAACAATAAGTCAGGGGCCAGTATTGGTGCAGTGGTGGTGCAGAAAGCAAGGAACACAGTCAGAGGAGATTCCTCTCTTTATACGTCAAAGCAAGGCTGCAAAAGGAAAACAGTCCTCTTCCTTTCATGCAGCAAACAGTTTCTAAATCAGCTGTGGTCATTGTATTTTCACCCTCTTTGCTGCAATTCTTTTCCTTAGCTGCATGTAGGAAAACCAGTCTGGAGGCTTCCTAAATTAGATAGAACATAGTCTGACCCCATGCATAGAAGATGTGACAGCACAACATAAACTAACAGCAAAGTAATGGATAAGACTCAGAAACAATAAGTCCCCTCACATTTTGCATTTACAACCAGTACAACACACTGTCAGAAACAAATAACTGTGTTAAACAGATCACTAGTTTGATTCAGAATCTTCCCAGTAACTTGCAATCTGACTCTAAAATAATAATATTGTAACATCTGCTCTGGTCAAATTCACCTATTATTGGCATGGCATAAAACCTGCATTTCCTTCCAAATTACTTGCATTATTATGGCTTTAAATAAGATTGATAACTAGCATGAATCATAAAATAATAAACACTGATTCTAGAAAATATTTTCCAAATATATATCCTATGTATCTTATATAGATCTGATGAGTATTTCTGTAGGGATTGGAGAACCTGAAGGCATGGGGAAAAACAAACAAACAGACAAATAAATAAACAAAATACCACAACAGCAAAAGCACTGTAATGCAGAAACTGGGAGAATTTGGATGACTTTGGTCAGAAACTTGGACGGGACCAGGTCAACCAGGGTCTAGTGCTGGGAGGATATTATCACTCTAGATTAGAAGACTAAAATTGTGTGTGGTGTGGTGGCAAAATAAGAAAATTCTTTAGAGGTGTACAAAATCTGAGTAATTCTCCCCAAAATTATGAAAAAAAAATTTACATCAAAAAATGTTTTTCTTTCCTAACAACTTTATGTCTGTTCTTTTCTCTCTAGCCATTCAGGGGAAAAGCTGGAGCAGGCTGAAGGTGAAACTAAACATTTAAAAATTACAATCTCTGTGTTTTTGACTCACAGTGCTTATTACATTTCTATATTTTTCCCTGATATGTCTACCCAGAGGAGAAACAGTAATCTGCCTGCTTCATGACAACTGCACTCTAAACATTGCAATGGACCATTTCATTACCAATTGTGTGCACATGGAAGGAAGAGTTCTTTTATGATGGATCTGAATCTACAGCCTGTCCCTCTCCAGATGAATCTGTGATGGGAGGTAGTAAGTGCTGCAGAGTGTGCGTTTGCTGGCAAACACAGGCACAAATAACACAAGCACTCCCTCAGCCACCCACCCGGCCAACTTAAATGTCTTCTAGCAGAAAATGTCTGATGAAAGTATTTCTGTGGGGAAAAGAAAAACACACACACACACACAAACAAAACAAACCCTGTCAATAGAACTGAGATGAATTTGCTTCCTTTTGGTAGAGTATATAAAAGAAATCCACTCTTGTCCAAATGCAAGTAAAAAATGACTTCTCTCGAAGAGTTTATCTATTCATTTGATTGTCTCTTCTAAGTGAGCTGTAATTAGAGCTAGTCCTCTTCTAACCCTTGTGCTAATGAGGCTTTGCTCACTTCTATTAGTGACAGCAGATTGTATTTTAATAAGGATCCCCTGGTCTGGCATGGCAGGACCTCCAGATAAGGGGAAGGAAAGCAAAAGGAAATGTAAAGAAGTGGAATCGGCAGGGGGTCCCCTTCTTGCCACAGGGCTCTACAGGAAGGCACTGGCTAACTTTGTCTTAGAACTGTCATTTGTATTAACTTCTAACCCATCACCTTCCCCGGTAGGCTAGCTTTACTCAATGAAGCAGGATAGATCCTTGGCTTGGCCTCTCTATCCCCTATTTCAGTAAACTGAATACAACACAAAAAGTTCACAGGGAAGCATTTAGTGAGATGGTGTTAAGGATAGGGTCAAAAAGAGCTTTTAACTCATCTTAACATTACTGTCCTTTTACATTTCAACTCTGCCCATCATGGCTTTTGGTTTACTCAGTCATCCATTTCTAAAACAAAACAAAACAAAACAAAACCACAAAAATGAAACAAAACAAAACACAAAAAGCCAAAAGCCTCCAAATGGAAATTGTATGCGTTTTGTGAATCCACTAATTTGTTCTATACCTGCACACTTTTTTTTTTTTTTTTTTTTTTTTTTTTGCTGTTTGAACCTTGGTTGGATGAGAAGCCTTTGGCTGATTCAGCCTTAGTATATGCTTATGCAAATTGGGGGTAATTTCTCTGCCATTCAGTAGAGTTAGCAGGGAAAAGAGAATCAAGCTTTTTGTATCTTTTGTGTAACAGTCTTATATCTCAGCCAGAAAACCTCTTTATGATGAAATCTAGTCTTAGAGATAGTGGAGGCTGTGACAGATAAACAGCTTCCTGCATACCAGAAGGTATAAAAGCATTTTTTTTTTTAAAGTTCCTATCACTGACTTCCTGAAAGCCATAAGCAAAATATATTTTATACTGTTAGTACTTTCACAGACTACGTTGGGATCTTTCAGACCTCTAGGGACATGATTGTGCTCTGCCTCAAATTGCACAGGATTGTTTATTTGTCAGTGAATGCAAAAACTTTTTCACTCAGTTTGCTATCTACCTCTCCTTTTATGCATATCTGTAAATATCTTTACCAAAATGTCATGCATTGAGGAATCAAGACAACAGCTTTGCATGAAATACTGAAACATATTTAAAGGTGTTATTTTCCCCTTTGAGTACCATGGTATACTTGGTCAGCTTTTTTTCTAGGAAGTCATATGTTACTGGATATCTTCCTGGAGGAGATGTTTGGTGACAAAGGTGTTCAAAAGACAGTATGGCAACCGTTCAGTCCATTATTGATACTGTAGACAATTAGGATTCATAGGGGTATGAGTTTGTTTGTGTTAGCTCATACTCTAGTTCACACTCAGATAATTGGCTGTCCATATTGCCTGCATACTGGCAAGCACATGAGTACAATTTTGATGAAAATTAACTGTCTCCTCTGCTAAGAGAAACTCATTTTGGGCGGGAGTGGAAAGAGAGCTCCTATTAAAGTTTTGTCTCTGCCTAGTGTGGACCCAAGAGGGATAAGACTTCTTTTCAGGTGACATGATCACATGTTTCTAGGTATTCTAGTAGGCTTCATGAATTCTATAAAATTATACCTGTTTTATCTGTCCTGTCTTTGACTGTCTCACTACAGAAACATATTCACTTTAGCATGTTTCTTTATGAATGATTCTTCTAGACATGATTTCAAATGGCTGGGACAAAGCTGCCTGAGACATCAAGTAATTGGATGATCTTTCTAAATATCACCTGTCTGCTGGGATCAAAGTCTGTTGCAAATTGTGTTCTTTACCATCAGCATGTGTTCTTAATCCTGGATGCTTTTCTGCCCTCAGTTGACTAGCAGATCCACCAACACCTAGCCCTACTGTCCACTGCTGTCCCAACATAGTGTCCTATCTTGGGCACCAGCAGAAACCTTCTAAGAGTAGTAGAAGTCCTAGGGTCATGAGACAAGATAGACAATCTTAAACTAGAAGTTTTCCAGGTCCACAAATTATATCTTTTATTGGCAAATAAGAACATATTAAATTACACATTCTGGAGCTTGTGAACTTTTCCTGTTGTCTGCAGCTAGTTCACGTGCAGTCTCTTCCTTTTCCTTGGCTTTGCTGGTTACCTGTTGTGCCTATTACCTCAAAATGGTGCTATGTGTTCTCTCACTTGGTCTGGCTGCAGGATTGTAAGTCTCATATCAGCACTGTTAGCATGTACCATAGACATGCTGCTGCTACACGCAGTTCTTCTGTCCCTTCTGCTACCTCATTCTCTCTCACTTCATTCTTCAGATCCATTTCTCTAGACATCACTGACTCTATCCTGGAAGACAACCAATCACACCTCTGACTATACCATGGCCATTCTCCCCATACACAGTTTCTAGAAATAGTAGTTACAAAAGTTACTGTATAGATGGCAAAATCATGAACAGCTAGAGAAGAAGATAGTAAAAAAGAGAAAAAAAGGGAAAACTGCCCGTACAACAATCTACATTTTACCCATGGTTGCTATTGAAAATTCCCTTCATGTTTCTGGCATGTGAACAAATTTCATGTGTGAGGTTTTGTTTGTTTGTTTTGTTTTATCTATTTGTCTTTCTGTTGCTTCCAATACTGTATGGACACTGGAGTTACAAGTAATCTGATGCAGTGAAATAACATGGTCATACATAAATAACATAAATAATATGGAAATAGCAGTGAATGTATGACAATGTTGCAGCCTTCAATAAGAGCTCTGAATGTCTCAATATTTTTTACATCCTTACCCCTACAGATTTTTATTTTTATTTTTTTTTAACATTGTCTTCATCTTACAGTTGAGGAACAGACAAGGATTTCCGAAGTGATTTAGATGTTGGTCTAATGGCAGAACAAAGTTTAACATCTCATAACTGCCTAGTGGAATTACTAGACCTCACTTATCTGGTCAAGTTGGTCACATGAACATATGTCTATCAAGTAAAGCCACCTAAGAAAAGGTCAGAATTAGCAATCTGAGCACAGAGTTAAATGGAGGACATAATCAACACTGAAGCAGTCAATCAGCTATTGATTCAAAAGGTAATTTAGTACATTTACTTCAGTCACGTGCAAGAAAAATGATCTGATGCAATTGCAGATACAGATACACCTTGTCTTTTGTTGAAAATTTGTTAGATTAATGAGTTAAAAAGCATATATATATATATACCCATACATATAATTATACAGCTTTAGCAACTGATCTTCTCAACAGGCTAGTAATATGTTCCTACTTCCCTTCCCCCACCCCATTCTACAGGGCTCTTGAACTATGAACTTACTGCTGAAGCTGAAGACATATCAGCCATTTGTCTCTTTGTTATCTGCCTTACAGCATATCTTTTTACTCTGGTGAGTTATTTAAAGAGTTTGATATAGTTCAGTTTGCTACCTTTGTGTTTAGAGATCATATCAATGTTAATGTCCATGCCTGGTGTCTCATGGGCTGAAAGCACAGTTCAGGCAATTTATTCAGCTGTACCAGAAAAAGGGAATTTCTATCACTATGAGAAATAGTACAGTCCTATACAGGCTATAGTCCTAACTCATTATCGTCTGTCCCGGTCCCAAAGATGAGGATTCATGAGCTGAGGGGATGAAGACTACCTGCATCATTGGTATATGGGTGTCATAAGAAGGTGTAACTCCTTGCTGTATTAAAGAAATTCCTGCCAGTGAGTGTGATGCACTTTTTTGCATAAAGAGAGTGATGTATTTTGTATTCAGTTATAGAGATAACCAAGAAGATTACTGTTGTTGAGTTGAAAATTTGACAAGCAAACCATGAAGTCCTTACCATCAAAGACTTCTTGCCCTTAGGTCAAAGTTGTGTGCTTTCTTAAGTATGCTTTTTGTAACACTTGTCCTTTTCCAGAAAGAAAAAAAGAAGGTAACAATGAAGATCTTTGAAAAATCATTTATCAGGCTACAAGACCCCTGGTGTGTTGAACAAGGAAGAAATCACGGAGGTAACTTCTGCCCCAATGGATCCCAGATCGAAAATCTTCTTTGTAAACAGGCTTTCATTTACTACAACTGGATCATAAAGTGACAAGTTTTCCCCTAGAATTTAGCCTAAAGCCTCTTCTGATCAGATTAACTTTGTTGTATTCAGTGGCAGACCTGGATTAACCCCTAAGAAACATTGTATTGTTTCTCTTCATTGCATATATCCCCATGTCTCCTATTATCTCCTCTTTACTTCAGACAAAGTGATACAAAGTTTAATCCATGATAAGCTTTTTTTTTTTTCTTTTCTTTTCTTTTCTTTTTTCTCTTTTTTTTTTTTTTTTTTTTTTTTTTTTTTTTTTGGTATCTGTTAAGAAGACTTCTTTGACAGTTGTTTCCCCTTTTAATGCAAACAGCCCATCCAAATAGAAAACCTTGTCAATAGAAATTGTTTATTTGAAACACTAAAGAGACAGCAGGAGAAGTGCTATTATTTTATGGGTTGCAGGGACAAAATTGCCAATGCTAAATCCATTGTCCATTTTTGTAAGCAAATAATGTAACCAAATTGAAAACATTCATGTATGTATCAAATGCATAGTTCTTGTGATAGACCTACTACTATATTGTATTTTGCAGTGAAAGTGTTTACCGTGAAGTTTTTCCAACACAAAATAACTTCTTTAAATATTTATTTATTTATTTATTTATTTATTCAGTAAAAGCTTTTCTAAAGCTTTTTCTTTAAAAAAATGCTGTGTCAGCAATTACTTCTGGTACAAGTGACAGGAATCCTAAAGAATGCAATTATAAAAGTTGATACTGGAAGGGAAGGGAATGGCATTACTTATATACCTGCCTAATTACCTACTTACTAGAAATAATTGACTTAGAAATAATATAACATGGGGCACATTTATGGTTTGGAAAACACAGCTGTATTTGGTCAGTGATGATATATATGAAAATAATATAGCACTTGTTCCATCATCACTACCAATACATGTTTATGTAATATAAGTTAATAGCAAGCCCAGCTCTTTTTCAGCAAACACCTAAGATCTGAGGAAGCTTCACTGGCCTCATCACATGAGTTTCGCAAAGGTCTCTTCAAAGAAGTGTTCTTCGTGGGGTAGAGTTAGGGCTAAACAGAGATAATCCTGTCAAGACTTTAAGATGTTTTCAGAAACTCAAATCAGGACACAGTACAGCAGATTATCCCCTGGCCTTTCACCTCCAGGGCAAGCACACGTGGTATTGAGAGACGAGACATAGCTTTTAAAATGTGTACATTAGATGTTTCTGAACTGACTGGTATTAACTATATTCCCACAAATGTTTCCTGCAGCCTTTGGATGGCAGTGTTATACACCTGGCACAGATTGACTGAATTTCCAGTCTTTCTGATGCCCTCATGTAACTTCATAAAAGAGAGACTTATTTTTTCTGTTTAGATTTTTTTTTTTTTCTAATAAAAAGTCTTCATATTTTCCTTTAAAACAACAACAACAACCAAACAGAAACTTATTGTTGCTTTCAGGTTTAATTTCTAGAACTGAAAATAAAATGTTTGGGAGCATGGTGAGGCTGTAATTTCTGTTTTTTCAAAACTTTATTTCTGACAAAAAATATTTTGTCAGAGTTTTTTATACTACCAGTAACTCTTATTCTGAGTATATTAACAGACTTTATAAAGAGTATCTCTGGAGATCTAGTACAGGAAAATTCTTCTGAAGCTCAAAATGCAAGATAGCAATGTCTCTTGTTTGTATCATTTCAAGATCTTGATTGTCACTTGATCACTCCTACTATTTCTATACTACTTACAAAAATTCTGGAAGTAGATGATGCAGATGTTTGATTACACAGCTTACACATGGAGGGATGGGTAAAATTGGAACAAAATTATTTTGTACCAGAATTGTGAATTCTGTCATGATTCATCCTCCAGCATAGTGCACTCCCTCAACCAATTCTGTTCAGGGACATCAGAAGACTTTTGGGCCTTCGGTAAGTGTTTGAACATGGAGAACTCTAGCTGTGAAACATATTTCTGCCTGAACTTTGGGAGGTCATCTTTCCTGAAGAACAATGAATGTAGACTGGACTTGTTCAGAAAACAGGGTAGAAGCAAGATGAGGTTGTTATCACTGGCAGAGTGGCGGAGAATATGAAAGTAGATAAGCATGAAGAGGTAAAATTGTACAAACTTCTGATATTATAGTGAAACTGTGTCAGTACAATGTAGTGAAAAGAAGAAAAACACATCACACTTCCAGGGTGGTGGATGTGCTGATTAGCTGATAAACGGATGTCAGTTTGCAGGGACTGAGTGGAGAAATAACTACCCTCGGGTAATGGTGCTTTAGACATCAAGGTGTGACATAATGATGGGTTGGACTGCAAATGGTGAAGTGAAAGAATACCTTTGTAGGGATGCTGAGAAAAAGGTTGGGAACTGGATTTTGATACTATATGTAATCCTTTCAGGTGTGACCTTCTCATTACAAAATGTGTGAAAGTCCTCTCCTTCACTGAAAGATTTTTTTTTTGTTTGTTTGGCAACCAACCCTTCTGCCTCTTTCATATTAGCTACAAAGGAATTAAATAACCATGCAAATTTATGAAGATGCCTCAAAGGAATGTCTCTATACTGCAGCTTGTATCTCCACGCAGAAATTATACTACTTCTGTACTTCGCTTTTCTTCAAGGGTCATGCTATTCAGCTTGTTAATAAGGTCTTTCTGAATTGTGGTGTTGTTAATATCAGTTCACGTGTCAAAAGAGAATACATAAAAATTAATAAAAATAGATTTATGAAAAAACTCCATAAAAAGCTACTATATAGAAGGCTAACTTATAGAAAGGCTAAAAGGCTAACTTATAGAAACCCTGCTGCATAAAATTCCTAACTACTAACTACTTACTAGAAATTGAGATGGAATATAAGAGTAAATAATGTATTATCCTAAACACGGTATTATCTATTTGTGGCCATTATGTTAGCTTAGACCATTGATTTGATCCAGTCTGGCTTCTCTTATTTTCTTAGTCAAAAAGCACATCATTGAATATATAATCCATCCAGCTGGTGTAGTCACTTAGAGAAGTATAGGTATTGACTGAATTTATTTTGTGATAGGTCTCTTTTTTCTACAGTCTCTTACTCCTGCTATTGATCACTGTATTTGTAGAATGATTATGCGGAGCTGTAAAATTAATACTGATTTACTACTAATTGCTACTCAGTTATTAAATTGATTTTCCAATGTGTCCAGCACTCTTGACCTGATACGTGTTGATTAGTGCTTAACATGGAACATATACACATTACATTGTTTTTACATAATACAGATTTTCAAGTTCTTCAAGTTCTTCAGAGACTTATTTTACTGGACCAGCAGCCTAGATTTTCTGTTTGGAAATTAAATAATGTTGTTATGGTTAAGCATTTTGTTGGTTTAGGGGCCAGAATGCACCTATTTTACTGTATCAGTCTTTCAGTTGCCACAGTAAGTATGGTACACAAACTTTCAAAAACAGCTGTCTGAAAGATATCAGTATTCCTAAGCTTGTCACTGACACCACCAAATAACCACATCTTTCTTAATTTCAACATTCTGAAACATACATCTGGAACAACATGCAAAAATATCCCCTGGGGATAAAAATACTGTCTCATGAATTGAATGTTCCTATCAGTAAGTCAGTCTACCTAAAATTGGAAGTCCTGTATATGTGAGTTGGAGAGAAGTTATGAAAAAGTGTTGGAAATGTATATTCATCCTCCACAGTGAATTAATGCTTCTGAGCCACTGAGAATACTAAGTTCCCATTGTAGGTTTTGAAGGAGGAACAACTTTAACAAACATTGAATGAAATCATATTTGAAATGTGGAGGCCTTTGAAGATCCTGTGTAAAAGTACGAAAAACAGTTATAACAGTTACACAGTAAAATGTCATATAGAGGTACCAATGACTTTTCTCATTAATCTCATTAAAATATGAAACATATTGCTGATATTGATAGACCTTACCAGTGCAGGTACTTTTTTTATGAGAAGTTTCTTTTAATGGTATTCAAAACTATACAGTTTCCAAAATGATACTCCTCTAAGCAGTTAAGAATTGTCTATAAAGTGGAAATTTGCTCCCAATCCAATTGCATTTTTTTTTCTCATTTGTATTCCTATTTATGTATAGCTTTCTTTAGCCCTTTTTAAATTTCCTAATTAATTACATGCAAAAAAAAAAAAAAAACAGAAACAATATACTTAGCCTTATCTGCTGTTCATCTTGCCTTTTCACCCTCCTCTTTCCCTTTCACCCAGAAATGTGACTTCAGAAGGAAAGCTACTGTTGACTTTATACCATCATTAACTATACTTCAGATGAAAAATA